ATCTAACCATTCATTCATTTATTCAGCAAACATTTAATAAACACCTTTCTTGGCTTCTGTAATCTTGCTTTCTTCTGGACCTATTCTTACCTGTCAGACCTGTCTGACTAAAGTCTCATTTGTTTTTTTCCTGCTCCTTATATGTCCCATTTGTCCTCTTCTTTCTACACTTATTGGTGATCACATATGTTTCCATGAATTCAGTCTCAGGTGGATGACTCCCAAATGTATGTACTCAACCCAAATCTCTCTTCTGAAATTCAGGCTCACTTCAGTTACCTGCTGGACATTGACATGAAGAAATGGGATCTCTTGGTAAGGGCATACCCCTGAGCAGAAGTCTGAAAACTGTGATAGGAGGACACACTGAAAGCAAGGAAATGTATTAGCGTGCTAAGAACACTGCTGTTAGCAGCTTCAATTTCCCAGAGTTACAGATTGACTTTGCATACTTTTCAGGCTGGTTTAAAGTACACAGCCAATCAGCAGTATTCTGCAGCAGCTTAGGATGGATAAGTAACACCTTTCACTGGAAAGGGAAGGGGAGAGAAAGGAGGAATCATTCAAGGGAGAAAAGGAGGAATATTTGCCAAGCAGCTGGCGGGGTTTGCTGTCAGAATGAGAAGACATTCCCTGTTCAATGGCAGGAGACAAAGGGAGATGACCAAACACTTTTACAAATGAGAAATAGACTCCTTTAGACAAAACTGAAGATTCCAGGTAACCATTTAGATCAGACTGCAGCTGTCTCATATCCAAGAATAACAAGCAATTGTTATAACAGTGGATCGGACCATCCAATTTTACTGTGTCCTTGCACAATTTATTATATTATATATGTCTTCAGTAATGGTTAGGGACTTCCTATTATTAAGCCATCTGATGGTTAGAGAGGGAGATCCCCATATTGTTAGTCTACCAAAATGTTGCAAAATGATTGTGGTTCCTATTTCTCACACACACACACACACACACACACACACACACAACTTCTCTACCTGGATTTCCTTTTAGCAACCCAAACTTAGCATCTTCCTTCCTATAAATTTCCTTATTGCTGTTGAGGATACCACTATCCTCCCTGATATTTGGTTTTATAACCTCAGTCTTCCCTCTTCCTCACCTTCATATCTAACCAGTTAGCAAGTCCCATCTGTTGTCCTCCATTGTCTTCTATGACATCTCTTCCACAACCTGATTTAGCATAGATGCTTAATAAATATTTATTGATTGTTTGATTAAACCTATCCTTCCAACTTTATTTCATATTATTCCCCTGCATAGACTCTTTGCTCCAGCCAGATTAGACTAGTGGTTGGTCCCTGAACTTGACATTTCCTCTCCTAAATCTGTTTCCCATGATTGGAACACACTTCTTCGTTTTAATTTCTGAGTTTTTATCTTCCTACAAGGTTCAGCTTGGGTTCTATCTATTCTTCAAAGCCTTCTCTGAACCCCCCAGTTGTTAATTCTCTATCCCTCAAATTACCTTGTATTTACTTACCTATGTAAATGCTATGGAATATTAGCATGATTTAATAGATAAAGAATCCCTGTGTCAGGAAAACCTGTTCAAATCTCATCTTTGGTACATATTGTCTTTGTGAGAAGAAGCATGGAGTAGCGGGTAAGGTTGAACTTGGGGTCAGAAAGATCTGGGTTCAACTTCTTCCTAGACACTTACTACCTGTGTGACCTTGCAGGAATCACTTAATCTCTTGTACCTCAGTTTCTTCATCTGTAAAATGAGAGGGCTGGACTCAAGGGCTTTCCATTTCCCCAGCCCCTGACTCTCCAGGGAGTCTTACTACCAAACTTTCTCAGAGGCAAAAAGTCCAGAGAAGCTAGAACAGATTTTAAGGAAAGATAAGGCAGTGAAAAGAACCACAGGGTGGGACTCAGAAGCCCAGGATACTGGGCCTGATTTGGCCACTAACCCTCTGAGTGACCTTTCCCTCTAGGAACATCTGAGGGACCTTCTCTGTAAAATGAAGTTGTTGGATCATATGATTCCCAAAGGCCCCTTTCAGGGTTAATGTTTTAGGTTACTAGCACAAGGTAGTTAGACTTACATGACTGAGTAGTAATCTCAGAGCTATTTTTGACTCTTCCCTCCCCCTCATCCCTGACCCACCCCTGTAACCAATCAGTTCCCAAGTCTTGTCAATTCTACCTCCAAAACATCTTTCAAATCTGTCACTTTCTCTACACTCACCCAGCCATACTCCAGTTCAAGTCCTCATCATCTCTTAGCTGGACTACTGAATAGCATCCTAACTAGTCTTCCTGCCCCAGCAATCTTCTTTCTCTAGTCCAGCCTCCATCCAACTGCCCGAATGATATTCGTAAAGCACAATTCTGATCATGTTACTCCCCGGCTCAAGAAACCTCAATTGCTTCCTATTGCCTTCTCAACAAAATGCAGACTCATCTGACATTCAGAGCTTTATATGGTCCAGAGCCAGGTCATCTTTTGAGATTGAATTCATGTTACTTTTCTTAATTAGGGCCATTCACTACAACAAGTGGAATGAGGACTTTCTGAATTCAGGATTTTTTTTTTAAAGTAAGAGACTTGGTTTGCTTCTCCTACCCATTACAATTTCTCTATTTGGCAGCAAAATGCCTCTCTAAATGAGTGATTATGTGGTAACCAAAGTATCTGCTCTAGGAAGGGGAAAAGGAAGCCCATACACGCTGAAGACAATTATTTACAGCCAGTGGGGAATGGGAAGGATGGATTTCCAAATCTCTGTCTAGCATGGAGCAATGGTTTTGAAATTCTCTGAACCAAGGTGGTCTGGCAGCTCCAGGAATGGTTTACCAGCCATCCCTTTCTGTATAGGAAAATTCTGATCTCTGATGTGTGTTAGAGACATTTCCTCCTTTTGGAAGGGGTCCCAGAGGGTGATCCTTGGAGAGTGTGATGATATCTATCTCTGCTTCCAGAGCTATCCTTTAGGATCTCTGAGCATAGTAATTGGTTGAAGGAGGTGAGGATACAGGCCTGGAATATTTCCTGATTTACCTAAGGCATAACAAGGTACAAGGGGGATATGGAGGGTCTTCTCTATTTTATCAGGAAGGGAACAAAGAGAGTGTCAGATGATGGATCACAGCTTGTAGGAAAGGAGTAATATAAAACGAGGCTGGAAAAATAGCTTCAAACCAGTTCTTAAATGCTTTAAAAACCAAACAAGAAAGTTTGTATTTTATCCTTGAGGCAAGAGGAAGCCCCTGGACTGGCAAGGTCAGATCTGTACTTAAGCAAAATCACTGGTAGTAGCAGGGAGTATAGACTCAAAGTGGAGAAACTTGAAACGTAGGTGAGGAGGGCCTCAAGTAAGATGGTAGTTCATTGAGACGAGAGAAGGGTTCATATTTGAGAGATGTTGTGGAGGTAGAAAGGGCGAGATTTGGCAACTGATTAGACATTGGAGTATGGGAGAATGAGGTGTCAAACATAATGTCCATCCAAAGAAAGAGCTATGGAGTTTGAATGCAGATTGAAGCATACTATTTGCTATTTTTTTCTTCTGTTGTGTTTTGTTTCCTCTTTCTGGTGGTTCCTCCTGTTGGTTCTAATTCTTACCTACAACATCACTAATGTGAAAATATGTTTAATAGGAATGTATATGTATAGCCTATATCAGATTGTAGGCCGTTTTGGGGAGGGAGGTGGGGAGAGAAGGGCAGAAAAATTTAAAACTCAAAAGCTTATTGAAGTGATTGTTAATAAAGCAAAATAATTAATTAGAAAAATAAAGATGAGGAAACAAAAAATATAATAAAAAACAAAAAATAAAAGATGAACAATACCAGATTTCAAATTGTATTTTTAAAAAAAAAGAGATAATGTCAAGGTTATGGAAGGGGGAGACTAGAAGAATACCGGTGCCTCCGCTCACAGAGAAATATATTCAAATTATCATTGACCACATAAAAATGCTCCAAGTCATTATTCATTAGAAAAATAGTAAAATAAAAGCAATTTTGAATTTCTATCTCATATCCAACAGTGACAAAATGGCAAATGACAAATGTTGGAGGAAAAAAGGCTGTAAATCACCAAATGAATTGTTCCAGCTATTCTGGAGAGCAGTTTGGAATTATACACAATTATATGTAATGCATATGTAATATATATGTAATGTATACGTATATGTATATGTATATGTATGTGTATATGTATATGTATATGCATATGCATATGTATAAAAAGCTTGCATTCAAATAGCATAATGGGGAATGGTGACCAAGGAAGGGATTTTAACCTAGGTAGTCACAGAAACTGTTATGGAGCCATAGTGAATATATTGTCATGACCTTTCCGGGAGCAGTGGTAACGCTGACTTGTTTATTGAGCAAGAGAGGAAGTGACAGACAGAACAGGGCGGGACGCCTAAACTAGCTCAGCTCCTGGTACACAGGTACACATGTACCGCATGGTAAACAGCAGAAGCTTAATAAATGCTTGTTAACTGATTGACATCAGGACTGGTCTGTCAGGAATCCCCTCTAGGCACCCTTCCAAGGTGCTTACTTCTTGGCGCCATCTCGTGGTCAATCGAGGAGTGGCCACCCCTAGCCCAGTTTTCCAGAGACGGCCTTTTGCGCTTGCGCTCTGGTTCCCAGTTCCCTTCCCCTCCTTATTTATCATCTATCAGGTCCATGGTATCCTAGGGTTTAACAACGGGCTCTTTAAGAGCTCTTGCCCCTCCCTAGGGAGCCCTGGCCCATCTGCAGGGCCTTAGGTCCATCCCCTCAAGAGCGAGCGCGAGGCTGTCTGATTGGTCTATGTGTAGGCCCGGGAGAAAAATAAGGTATGCTATTGGCTCCTTCTCGGGTTCTGTCCCGCCTCCTCCCCGCACTCTGCGGCCTGGCTTCTGGACTGCGCCTGCGTAAAGAGAGCGCGCGCGGCGGGGCCGGAGCCCGGGAAAGGGGGGGAGGGGTTGGGCTGGGCTAGGCAAGGAGGCTGCACGTGGCTTCGGAGCTAGTGGGTCCTGTGCAGCACCATGCCAGGGGGCAGCGACCCCGAGGGCGCGGCGGCGGCGGCGGCGGCGGCGGCGGCGGCAGCGGCAGCAGCAGCAGCGGGGCACGATAGCCCCTTTAGCTTCAGCCCGGAGCCCACGCTGGAGGACATGTGAGATGCACGCCCCACTCCTCCTCCCCCAACTCGGGGATGCTGCCCACCCCATGGGGGAAGATGGTGAGGGAGGAGGGGGTCCCTGCTGAACCCGAGGCTTCCTGCCACCCAGTAACGCTCTGCCTACGCTAGAATGCAATCTGGAGAAAGCCCACATTTCTGTTATTTCATTATTAGTATTTGCAACTCCCAGGTGAGGAAACACCCTCCACCAAAGTAGGTTAGCACCTCCTCTGCAATTGATAGCCTCAGTTGCCTGGAGTCCGGTGGTTAAGTGACTTGCCCCGGGTCACCCAGCCGGGACTCGAACCTAGGTCTTTAGTCCTCTCTCTGCCATGCTGCTTCGCATGCATAAAAAATATACAGGTAAAAAAACTCAGACTCGTATCAGCATCGCTATGTGCCCAAGGTCTTCCCAGTTCATTAAGTGATGTAAGTACGGAGTGCTGGACTTGGAGTTGAGGGACCTGTAAGATGGGGTGATAGTTACAGTAGCTACCTCCCCAAGGTGTTGCCAGGGTCAGATGAGATGCTTGCAAAGAGCTTTGCACATCTCAAGAGCTCTTTGTGAGTGTTAGCTATTGTTATGTTGATGTTGAGTAACAGTAGCTTTGTGAACTTGTGAATTTTACCTAGCTGCCTGCAGCCTGCCTCAGTTTCCTCCTCTGTAGAATGGGGATGGTAATACTCCATCGAGGGAGTCAGCAGTGGAGAGCATGTAGGATTTGATTTGAGAGGTTTGTTACTGTTTCAGTCACATCCTACTCTTCATGACCCCATTTAGGGTTTTCTTTGGCAAAGATACTGGAGTGGTTTGCCATTTGCTTCTCCAGCTCATTTTACAGATGAGGAAACTCAGGCAAAGTTATGTCACTTGCCCAGGGTCACATAACTAGTAAGTTTCTGAGGCCTAATTTGAACTCAGGTCTTCCTGACTCTAGGCCTAGACTCTATCCACTGCACCAGAGGACCTGGGTTCAAACGCTCGATGCTGTTTACTTACCTGGGTGACCTCGGACAAATCACTTATTCTCTTTAAGGCTGTAATATTAGGGGACTGGACTTCAAAGATCCCTTGTATCTCTAAACCAATGAACATAGACAATGAGAGCCACTATGAGGAAAGTATGTTTTAAAGTACATGTGGAAATGTGAGTTGTGAGATGCTGAGGAAAATGCAGTTTGTGTAAGAGCAGGTTCCTGCCCTCATGGAGCTTACAGTCCAGGAGAGGGTAAAAGCAGCTTACACAAGCTTCAGGTGTGTGGTAGGTGTGGTGCTTAGTATTCTGAGGAGGAGTTCCTGGAGGACATGGCATTTGAGTTGGGTATCAGAAGATGAGTGGGAGTTCAACAATGTATGAAGGAAGGTGACAGGAAATCCTCAACTTGTAATGGAAGGAAAACAGCACAGAACTAGGAATCAGGAAAAAAACAAACAACCACCTGGCTTCTAGTCCTGGCATTACCACTGGTAGCTTTATTTTCATTTTCTTTTTACACACACACACACACACACACACACATACATACACATATATTTATATAATATATATAATTTCCCCCATCTCATTGTGACCTCATCTAGGGTTTTCTTGGCAAAGATACTGGAATAATTTTCCATTTCCTTCTCTAGCTCATTTTACAGATGAGGAAACTGAGGCAAACAGGATTAAGTTACTTGGCCAGGGTCACACAACTTGCAAGTGTCTGAGACTGGATTTGAACTCAGGAAGATAAGTTTTTCTGACCCCAGGTCTGGTGCTCTGTCAGCTGCACCCTCACCTGCCTGGCTTCAGTTTGCCCCTCTGTAAAATGAGGGGTTTGGACTAAAGTCTCTCTTAAAATCTCTTCTAGTTCTGACAGTTAATTCTTTTTTTTTTTTTTTTTTTTTTTTTTTGCTTTTTGGTGAGGCGATTGGGGTTAAGTGACTTGCCCAGGGTCACACAGCTACTAAGTGTTAAGTGTCTGAGGCTGGATTTGAACTCAGGTCCTCCTGACTCCAAGGCCAGAGCTCTGTTCACTGTGCCACCTAGTTGCCCCCTGACAGTTAATTCTTTGCCCTGTGCCTTGCTGCTGTGCTGACCCCTTTTCTGACCTAGTCTCTGCCTCCCTCAATCTTTCCTCCTCCCTCTCTTCTGCTCTCTCCTCTATAGCCGTCGCCTCCAGACAGAGTTTGCAGCCGAAAGAGACTGGGACCAGTTCCATAAACCTCGGAACCTCCTCCTGGCCCTTGTTGGGGAGGTGGGAGAGCTGGCAGAGCTCTTGTGAGTAGTTGGAATGGCATAGGGATTGGGACAGGTGGGAAAGAATGAACGCATTGGGGCCTTCCTATCTTCCCTTCCCACTGTGGCATCACCTGCTCTGTCGGGATGCTAGTATTGGATTAATCTAATTTATCTTTGTACTGTGTGCAGTGGGGTATATAAAAACTTAGAAGGCATAGGCCGTGCCCTCAAAGGGTTTACAACCTAGGGAGAATGAATAAAATATATATAATGAAATGCCGTGTACCTTCAGAGAGAGAACTGATGAACTCTGAATGCAGATTGAAGCATCCTTTTTTTTCTCTCTTTTTTTTCGATGTGTGTTTTGCAACGTGGCTAATATGGAAATATGTTTTGCATGACTTCATATGTAGAATTGCTGTTAGATTACTTGCCATCTCAAAAAGGGGGAGGGGCAGGAGAGAGAATTTGGAACTCAAAATTTTTTTTAAAAATGTTAAATTTTTTTACATTTAATGAAATAAATAAAATATATTAAAGAAAAAATATGAAAGTACAAGGCAGAATTTGATAAATGCATAGGAGAGGTACAAAGTGTTGTTGACCCAAGGTTTGGAGACAGGAAGATTTTGAGGAGAGAAAGAGCATTTCTGTCTTCATAGGTGGCACTTGAGCTGAGCCTAGAAAGATGGACAGGTAAGATTTTGCTATGTGGAAACGATGGGGGTGGGTAGGACCCCAAATGCTAATAGCATAAATTAAGGCAGGAAATAATGAGGTATGTAATGGGAATAGCAGTGTTCCAATATGACTGAAGAGAAAGTAAAGGAAATTAATAGAAAATAAAGCTTGAAAAGGAGGACAGGGACACATCATAGAGAGCGAGAGAGTCTTGCTTGCCAGACTAAGGATTTTGGATTTTATCCTAAATAGTAGGGAAGCCACCAAAGATCTCTGAACAAAAGAAATCTGATGGTCATTAGACCTGTGCATTAGGAAATTACTTTAGTAATGGAAAGGAGGATGCATTTAGAAAGAGGAAGGGCTTGGAGAAAGGGAGACCAGTTACAATAGAATACAAGATTATACAGTCACCAGGCAAGAAGTGACAAAGGCTTGGAATGGGGTGGCCTCAGAAGGGGGGGAATGGATGGATGCTAAAGACATTTCAGAAACAGAATGGATGAACTCAGAGGCTCACGGTAGAGGGAGGTGATAAAAGATGAATGAGGACGAAGAGTTTTCAAAGACTCGGAAATTTTGATCAGCCACAGTTCTACAGCAGAGGTGTCAATTGTAGCAATCTGAACCAGATTAAACTTAATTGGGAAATATTGAACAAATTAAAACTACAGCAGAACAAAGGTAACGTTAATATGTGGTTTTCTAAGTCAGTATGTAATATACAGAGATCCTTTTGTGTGGTTTGGTGGACTTGTTTCTATTTGAGTTTGACTCCATTTTTCTAGAGGACTCATAATGAAACAAGCTGCCCACATCCTGATAGAGAGATGATAGACCCCAAGTGAAGAATGATACATTCTTTTGGACAAGGCCAATGCAGCAACTTGTTTTGCTTGACTACACCCATTTATAGGGGATTTTTTCGTGTGTATGTGTGCTTTCTCAATGCGGTGGAGGGATGTGAGGGATTGCATCTTCATTTGAAAATAAAATAAAATTTAATGAAAAAAAAAAAAGACTGAGGTTTCAAGGCTGAGTCAAACGGCTGGTTTGGGGAAAAGGAAAAACTCAGTTTGGGATGGGACTACCCTGAACGTCAAACTCACTAGATACAGAGAGCAGGGCCTGGCGCTTAGGTAGCAGGTTTGGAGTTAGGAGGAGGGTGAGGCTGTGATTGTGGGTGCTTAGACTGGGGTCCTGGCCAAGGCCCAGTACTAATATCTGTCTCCATGTCTGTCTGTCTGTTTCATCTTCCCCTCAGTCAGTGGAAGCCTGATGGTGGGCCTGGACCCCTGTCCTGGTCTGAAGCGGAACGAGGGGCGTTAGGGGAGGAGCTCAGTGATGTCCTCATCTACCTGGTAGCCCTGGCGTCACGATGCCATATTGACCTGCCACAGGCTGTGCTGGCCAAGATAGAGACCAACCGGCGCCACTACCCGGTCCACCTTGCCCGTGGCTCTTCCTGCAAGTACACAGAGTTGCCCCATGAAGACAGACCGAAGGCCCAGAGCCGCGGCCCTGCCCCAGGAGCCGCAGAATGTGCACCTGTCTCTAGGGGAGCAGAGGAGACTAACTAAAGAACAGGACATGTGGAACAGGGATGGGAGTGTGGGCCTGGGCAGGGGCTGGAATTCATGGGACGGACTCCAACGATGCTGGCGAGGGACAGCCCGGAACGGGAACCCACTGGGAAAGCAGGGATACACAAGTCTTTTCAAATCCTCCTTTGGTTGTTACTAGAGTCTGGAAATGCAAGGTTCCCCTGCCCTCCTAAATCCTACCAGAAGAGGACCGGGTGGATATGTGAATGGAAGAAGTCCTTCTCAGGTTGTCATTTTTTTCCTTTAATAAAACGGTTTGGGATGAAGTGATTTCTTGCAGTTACTTGGATGAAGAGGGGGAGAGAGGTGTGACTGAGGGAGAAAAGTAACTTTTATTATGTAGTGAGGGGGAGGGCTGCTTCTCAGACTCATTGAGAGCGCCTTAGGTCTATGATACCCCTTGTTTTCTCTATAAAGTGTACTTCCTTAGCTTCGTGAGCTTGGACAAATCACTCTTCTAGCTTCCTTACCTGTAAAAGAATTGGACTGAATGATCTCTGGGTCAAATAGACTACATTTGCTTCCTGAAGTACTTGTGAGGGAGGTAGGATAGGTGCCTTTTTCATTTGACAGATGGGGAAAGGCCTCATCTGTTCTAAAGCCCAGAGGGGTGACTTGCCCAAGGTCAGACAGCTAATTCTTGGCAGAATCCTTTTAGGGGTGGGGACCCTGCGGCCTCGAGGGCGCTGTTCTGTGAAGTTTGGATTCAGTAAAAGGGCTGAACTTGAGGACCTAGAGAGCCACATGTGGCCTTCAGGCCGCTGGTTCCCCACCCCTCGTAAGAACACAAGGGCTCCTTGGGAAGCACTGGTCCTGTGTTTGAATCCCATTGCTCCTGGAGCCTGAATGATAACTGAGTGGTAGTGTCACCCTCCCTTACCTCAAACATAAGTGGCTCCTATTGCTTCCAGGAGCAAATGCAAGATGCCTGTGCTTAGCATTCAAGGCCCTTCATAACCTAGTCCCCTCCTACCTTTCCAGTCTTTTAATACACAGACTCTTTGATCCAGTGATGCTGGCCTCTGGGCTGTTCTACAAACAAGACTCTTCTCTCAGCTCCAGTTCTCTCTGGTTGTTCCCACGCCTAGAATGCTTCCTCCACTCCCAGCTTCTTGCCTCCCTGGCTACCTTAAAGTCCCAACTAAGATCCCACCTTCCAGAAGCCTTCCCAGCCCTTCTTAATTTCAGTGGCTTCCCTCTGTCAAGTATCTCCTATTTCTCACTTTGTGTATATTTATTTGCATGTTGTCTCCCCCATTAGACTGTGAGCTCCTTGAGGTTAGGGAGTGCCTTTTTTTGTATCCCCAGCATTTAGCACATAGTAGGCACTTAATAAATGTTGACTGATCAGTTGGTAGTGGTGGAAGTGTAGATTTCTCCTAAGAGTCCCAAGACCCAGCTGGGCTCATTGCTGATGGCAGACAAAACTTGGGAGAGCATTAAGATGGTAGCGGTGAGGCCCTTAGGCTAAATTAATTTTTCTACATGGATTATTTCTGCCAACAGCTCCTGTGTGGCCTTTAAATTTTTCCCGTAATCTCAAAGCCTGACAGAAAGAATGACAGCGTGAGGTAGTGGTGTATACTTTGTCACTCATATGTGTTATTTCCCTGACAGAATGCAAGCTTTTGAGGGCAGGGACTTGCATTTTTTTCCCCTGTCATATTTACCATCAAGTGGTACTTAGTAAATATTTGTTATGAGAAAGAACACAAGAGTTTATAGTCAGCACATTTGGATTTGAGGCTCTGCTTGTTTTCAGCTTAGTTAAGTAGGCAACTCACTTTACCTCTGGGCCCCTGTAAAACCTGGGAATTTTAGTTCCTGTGCTGTCTTGCTTCCCCAGATAGCGTAGAAAATGCTTTGTGAACTGCAAAGTGCTAAAGAAATAAAGCTCTAGTTAAACCAAGGGGGTGGGAAGATTAACTTGCCTAGGGGCCTCTGGGCAAATACTTTCCAGTTCTGGATTCTGCTGGAAGTAGAACATGGCCTGGCTCAGGGGCACTCAGTCACTGCTTCCAAAAACAGGGAGTCGGTGAGTGTCCAGCAGCTTCACAGGGGAAAAGGGCAAGAGGGAATACAGAGGGTAGCCAAGACTTCATCTCACAAGGGAACCAGGCTGTTTGTAGGTTATTGTGTCTGAGCCAAGGAAGGAGGCTGGAGAAAGTCTCCAGAAGGGCCCCATTTCCTTAGTGACCACAGCAGAGGAAAGGGAGGAAGGGAGGGGGAAACTAGAGAACAGACCTCAAAGGGAACAGGGGAGAAGGGCTGGAATGAGTCATAGGTGGCACCCTACTTCCCTCCCTATCTCCTTTCCTTAACCCTACCACACATTTTTTTTCATTATTCTGATTTCTTGTCCTACCTTCTCCTATCTCCAAGGCATTACTCTGGCAGCAAGGCCCAGTGCGGCCCAGCTTTTGCAGCTAGAAGGGTTAGGGCTGAATCCCAGCTCAACCTGGGTGATGTTGACCAAGTATTTTTTTTTTTTTTTTGGTGAGGCAATCAGGGTTAAGTGACTTGCCCAAGGTCACACAGCTACTAAGTGTCAAGCATCTAAGGCAAGAGTTGAACTCAGGTCCTCCTGACTCTAAGGCTGGAGCTCTATCTACTGTGCCACCTGGCTGCCCCAAAATAATTTCTTTTTAATGGGGTTTCATTTACAAATCCTTTATAAAGAGAAGATTGGACTCTGAGGTCATTTCCAGCTCTAAATCTAAATCTGAATAAATCTAACTTTAAATCTGTGATCTCAAGAGTCAAGAAAATTTGGGTTTACATCCTGGTTCTTCCATTTAGCACCTGGATGTTTCTACACCTATAAAATGGGGCCTTTCTTTACATGATTGTCACAAGACCCAAATGAAAATGTGAATATAAGATATTTTGTAAACCTTCTAGCACTCTAGGAATGTCCATTTTGGCTTTCCTTCACTTTTCCCTTCAAGTCCTGAGTCAGGTGCCACCTCCTCCATCAAGCCTTCCCCTCTTCCTTGCCTTCCTCTCATTCTCTTTTCAGTTATCCATACATATGCCCCTCCCCCCATTAGAGGCCAAATTTTTCAACTGCAGGATCGGTGTCTTTATTGTTGTTCAGTTGTTTCAGTTATGTCCAACTCTCCATGATCCAATTTGGGGTTTTGTTGACAAAGGTACTGGAGTGGTTTGCCATTTCCTTCTCCATTTATTGTGTGTACATATGCATGTATGTATATGTATTTGTTAAATCATTTTTCAGTCATGTCCAACTTCTTCAAGACCCAATTTAGGGTTTTCTTGGCAGAGATATTGGAGTGCTTTGCCATTTCCTTCTCCAACAAATTTTACAGATGAGGAACTGAGGCAAACAGGGTTAAGTGACTTGCCCAGGTTCACATAGCTAGAAGTGTCTGAGTCCAGATTCGAAATCAGGAAGAGTTTTCCTGACTTCAGGCCTGGTGCTTTATCCCCTGCACCACCTAGCTGCCCCAATCTGTATCTTATTTGATTCTTTTAACTCCTCCAGTACTAAAAACTAGCTTTGCACACAGCCAGCCAGCTAGTACAGTGAATAAGGTTCTTGAAGATAGACCCAAGTTCAAATTATGCCCCAGGACACAGCCTAGATGTATGACTGTGGGCATATTACTTAACCTTTGTCTGCCTCAGTTTCCTTATCTTTAAAATGGGGTAATAGCTCTGTGCCAGGGTTGTTGTGAGGATCAAATCAAATATCAAATGAGATATTTGTGAAGCGTTTTTGCAAACCTTAAATGCTATATAAATGGTAGCTATTATTAATATTTCCAAGTGAGACATTTCCTGAACTGAGTGGCTCTAAAATGTTAATTCATTCATCAAACATTTGAAGCCGTCTGTACTGGGGATTCAAAAATAAACAACAGATCTGGCTCTCAAGAAGCTTACACTGGGGGTGGAGGGGTGAGGGTCCTGTAGCTACAACAGGATAGGGAGCAAGGTACTTAACAAAGGAAAATCCAAACAAAGTGCTGGGTGGAATCTAGTTAGAATTTTAACCATTTTCCAGATCTGCTGCACAAGGCGGGGTGAGGGGGTGGTGTTCGTGGTTTCGTCAGAGCTTTAAGGTCCCTTCCAGCTTGGGGATTTCAATTCCATGACTCTAGACAAGGCAGAGACAAGGGCAGATGGAGGGGAAGGAGAAAGGAGGGAGAAGGGAGATGCTATGGTCCCCCCCCGACGCGTGGCCACCACTCTCTCCTTCAGACATACCACAAAGTGTAACAGGAGGATAATACTTTATTCACGAACACAGGCCCCAGTGTGTGTAAGACGCAGGAGGGGGGGCTAGTTCCTCCAGGTATCACAAGCCCCTGACCTCCTCCTTCCCTGGGCTGGAAGCATCCTTGGGAGCCCTTGGCTCATGGGTCCCCAGTTCTTCCCTCAAGCTGGTTCCCACCTTTCTCCCTTCAATTCTATATTTGCAGAGTAAAGAGCAAGAAACTCAGTGAGAGGAAAGGGAAAGACCCAGGCAGGCAGGGCTGGAGGGCAGGGGCATATCATAGCTGCTCCACTCCGTTAGAGACATTCTAGGGGCCTTCTCAAGACAGTGTAGTGTGCTGCTTCTAACGCTCTTCTTGTGGCAGATGGCAGACACTCCTCCTCCCAGAGTTCTCCCCAGGCCGTGGAGAGGAACCTCCCTCACTGGCTCCCTCTCCCTGGAGAGTGGGGGCTTTCTCTCCTGCTCCTGCTCCTTCCTAAGGGATACATGTGCCAGCCCCCCCAGTTTCTCTGTCCTCAGCTCCCCTCACACTCAGGACACCGGTCGGTTCTCTCGTTGCCTCCAACTCTCCCCACGCCAGATGCCAGCTTGAAGCCGCGGCCACAGCCCTCGCAGATGTAAAGCCGCCTCCGCAAGTGGGCCCGCCGGTGCCGGATGAAGTGGGAGCTGAGGCGAAAGCGGCGGCCACACTCAGGGCAGGGGTAGGGCCGCTCACCCGTGTGGGTACGGGCATGCTCCGCCAGGTTGGAGCGGTGACCAAAGCCCCGGCCGCACACCTGGCAGCGGTGGGGCTTCTCCCCGGTGTGCACCCGTCGGTGCTTGGCCAAGGCTGAGCTCTGGGCAAACCTCGTCCCGCACTCAGGGCAGGAATAGGGCCGCTCCCCCGTGTGGGTACGCCTGTGCCTTGCCAAACAGGAGCTGCCCCCAAAGCCACGCCCACAGTCTGGGCAGGTGTAGGGCTTCTCACCAGTGTGCACGCGAAGATGCTGGGCGTAGTTGGAGCTCTGGGCAAAGCGGCGCCCACACTGGG